CACACTCTGCTGGATCACCAGCGCATGCACACTGGAGTAAAGCCTTTTGTTTGTACCGTCTGCTCCAAGGCGCTCTCCACCAAACACTCCCTACAAGAGCACATGAACCTCCATGAAGGTAGGATCTTATGACGTTAGTACTGGGTTTCTCTTATTAGTTCTTAATTTGCTATACTAAGGATTACACCCTATGTATATAATAGGGCTGCACGATATGGTAAAAAAGAAATCACATTGCGATAATTTTGACAGATATTACTGCGATTTCCATAATACCGGTACCAGACTGAGAGATTAAAGGTTCAGGAAGCCTTTGCAGGTGTTTTGAGTTAATTAGCTGATTAGCACTCTTCAGGTCGACATTTCTGTATTATAAATTCTTTTATTGTAAAATTCAAATATATTTTGAGATACTGGAGTGTTGATTTCCATGAGCTGTAATCAAGATTAAAACAAAAAAGGGCTAAATATTTCACTTTGTGTAATGTAGACTATATGAAAGTTTCACTTTTTGAATTAAATAACTAAAGAAAATTAACTTGTATTTTCATTCAAATTTTTTTAGAGGCACCTGTATTTTGATTAATTGTGCAACCCTGATATATAATTTTATAATGTTCTCTTCCCTACCTTAAGCCTCTATTATAAATGTAAATATTACATAACTTGTTGCATTAGTTATCAAAAGGAGATCACATACAATAGCCTACATATGTGAGAGTTCAGAGATACAGTAGTTTTGGGGAACAGTTCCCCCCCATCAGAGTCAGAAACTAATAAATGGCTTTTTTACTATTATGTAATTTTACAATAATTTACAATAAATGTTTTTTCTGTACCTGCATTTGTAGAAGAGAAATCCTTCAGCTGTGATAAATGTGAAAAGACCTTCACTCAGAAGAGGCAACTTAGAAGCCATTACAGAGTTCATACAGGTAAGAATCCCATCTCTCCAACAGCAGCAGGTTTATTATAATGTAGTCACTGTAAAAACTCATGTCAAAGAATCATGTATTCATTCTTAATTAAAGGCAAGTCGTTTCCAGAATGTGCTCAATGTCATCACAAGTTCATGGACACAGCTCAGCTGAAAAAGCACCTGAGAACTCATACAGGTAAAGTCAGACATGACGTCAACAGAGCTGTGAATGATTTCTGAGCTATTAAAAGTGATATCACTGCGTAACTAATATCTACAAAATGTGGATGCGCTTGCTGCTGTCAACTCCTGACATTAATGATATCCTTACAGGCGAGAAGCCTTTCACCTGTGAGATTTGTGGAAAGTGTTTTTCGGCCAAAAGCACACTGCAGACTCATATCAGAGTTCACAGGTGAGAAATCCGTTTTAGACAATCTTAAGCTCCCAATGTTTGATATATGTTTACCATTTAGCAGCTTTTAATTAATTCATAGTGTGACTATTTAAAGATGAAACATTAGTCAACAATCAAAAACAAGCCACCGCACACTGAGATGACTTTACTGTGATTTATTGTGAATGGCACGTTTCAGCTATTGCTTTCTTCATCTTCTAAGGTGCTTACAAGTTCCTTGTCAGTTAGCTTCATATTAGTCTTCTTATGGACTTAAGTGAAATGATGCAATTCTTGTAACCCATGTATGTTTTTTTATATATATATATTTCTACATTTTCTGATATTTACCATGTTTATGTCTTTTGTATTATAGAATTTGGTACAATATTTTTAGTTTTTATTTTTATACTATGATAAACCCAGCAAAAAAAAAAGCAAATCAAAAAGAGATTGGGATTACGGGTCATGTGACCTCAGGCCCACCCACAGAAATGACTGGGCCCTTGAAAAGGTCCAGTAAATAGATGCTCCCCAAATCTGCTTTACTCTTGTTAACGCATGCGTGTGCTCTCTCTCTATCTCCTACATAAACACAGCCTGCTGCATGTGGTCCACTTTTGATGGTTTGACATTGTGTACAACAAACAGTACTCCATACCATAGTATTTTCAGGAGAGGGGGTTTTCATTATGAAACAGGCTACATTTTACTAAAGCAACATTAAATAAAATGCAATTTTATGTTATTTGAATGAGTAATGGTGAGTATTTTGGTTCAAAATAAAATTTGGTTATCTTTGCTTATATTTAGGATGAACATAATTAGTGCAGGACTGCATGGGGCCCCCTAGCGGCTTGGCCTCAGAAAGCTTTTTTCCCACTTATGGGCGGCCCTGTGTGACCTAGACACATCCTGTGTAGCACACCTGTGAGTGCTCTTGCAATGTCACGTAGTGAACCTGAAGAAGCCATAGGCAAAACATGTTGTCTCTGTGTGTCGTGCCTTGTTTTTGATTTTTCATTGCTAAATCCTGCGATCTACCAGCACCTGACTGTGCTGTATATGGAGTATTTCTTGTTTTATTAGTCAACAATCACTTGAATAAATCTTGCAATAAATAATATCCTGCAGACTGTCCAGGATTTCACACCTTTTAGCTCCGCTTTTGGTCTTCACTCAGGAAATATGTCTATTTAGCTGCTAAATGCTTCACTTTTTTCACCAGCTCGTTGCAAAGGACGCCATGAGCGTGGGGAGAGGAAACCAAGCCCCTAAAGCCTAGTTCACACTACGCGATTTTTAGCCCGATTTTCTGGTCAGAGAGCTCAGCGACAGTCAGGCTGTGATCAGGGGTAAATCAGTGATCAATCGGTGGTCGCCAGCTGTTATGTCTGAACCATAGACTGTATATAAAAAGGTCTGAACGACTCAACAACGCATTTCTAACACATCGCAGACGCCAGCCAGATATCTACCATGCCAAATATCTGGAAGAGTCGCCAACTCCACATCCACATCCAGCCAATGAGAGCAGGCAGCTGGCAGAGCAGGCAGCTACTTTTTCACTGCAAAACACTTTTTATTCACCTCCAGCTCTCTCTGTAGCTCAGATGATCCCTGCCACCTGCATGTGCTAATCCATTCTTTCACCCAAATTCTTTGTCTTTTTAATTGCTATCTTTATAATAATAAACAACAGCTGTTTCGGGTGTAGGTTCGCATCATTTCCTGTTTCACATTTCACATGTTTTCTTGACAAAATGTGGTTTGGAGACCTATGTTGGGTGACACAGCCGCTGTCAGCTCGGGTAGTGTGAACACCACAACGACTTCAAGACTCCTATCACAAGACGGCACATTGTGTAGTGTGAACAGCGCGGTGAATGGCCAACACTGAAAGTCGTATAAGTCTGCATGAGCCTTTAGAGCTGAGGTTTTTTATAGCCGCTTTAAGATTCAAAACAAACTTAATTTAAATGTTGATTTCCTTTTACAGAGGCGAGAAGCCATATGACTGCAGCATCTGCAACAAATCATTCGCAGATCCCAGTGCGAGACGACGACATGTCGCCTCCCACTCGGGGAAGAAACCCTTCACCTGCTCCTTCTGCAGCCTTTCCTTTACCCGCCTGGACAATCTGAAAACACACACCAAATCCCACAACAAGGAAAGAGCTGCAACAACAGAGGCCTCGTCAGATGCAGCGGACACCGCAGCACCACCAGAGGAGGTGCGGAACATCCTGCAGCTGCAGCAGTACCAGCTGCCCTCCACCTCTGAACAGGAGATCCAGCTGGTGGTGACGGGAGATGTGGACAACATAAACTTTGTGCCGGGTCAGGACCAGGAGATCAGCATCATTACCACAGAGGGGGAGACTGCAGAGTCGGCACACTCCAGACTCACCCTCCTCACCCAGTCGTCAGGAAACGTGCAGAACGTGGCTCTGGTCACTCAGGGCGGTGGGGCGGACCAGAACCCTCAGATCAGTATACTGGAGGGCCAGTCTGAGCAGATGCATGTTATCACTCTGAGTAAAGAGGCGATGGAGCACCTTCAGGCCCATCACGGTCCCCCGCAGCCCCTTCCGATAGCACAACGGCCCGTCCAGCCGCTGGAGGTGATGCACCAGCAGACCCAGCAGCTGGCTGCCACTCAGGAGGCCTCGCAGGGGGAAGTGGGCAGGGAGCAACACAGCCAGGCCATTCATATCAGCAGCCAGAGCAGCCAACCCATCTCCATCAGCCAGACCAGCGAGCAGATCTCCAGCCATCACATCCAGGGACAGACATTTCAGATCCAGGCAGGGACCGTGTCCTACCTGTACACCACTGGGCTGCCGCAGGAGAACTGAGCAGAGAACTGAAGCTGCCAAATCCAAAGTGATAATGCTGCTACATGACACATTAATAATGGGGTAGAGTAAGAATATTTTTAAAGACATGAGTCTTAAAGCAAATTCTATGTGTTAAAATGATCTGTTAACCATTTTCCAAAGCAAACCAGAATTTGTGTTTTTTTTTCTTTAGTTAGGTGTCTTCTGGGAAAACTCGGGCATCTTTCAGAGTCAACTTCCAAATGGCAGTACATTTCACAAATATGTTCTTGCAAAAACAAACGCTGGAAGATGAATGCAGTAGAGCCGGACAGATTCTGGATTTGTGAGGCCAATTTTTGGTTGATATTTAAGTGTCATAAAAATCTGATGTGCTATACTGGCCATTATTCACCTTGTAGATAAACACATAATATACGCAAATTCTTGTGATGAGGATCATGGCAAAGATATGAACTAAGCAGAGTATTTACAGTTGAAGAAAGTTGCTTTGGCATTTCTGTACTGATACCTTCAATGACCTCATTTCAGTCTAGTTCGAATATCCATACATCAACCTTTTAAAAAACATAATGTCAAGTTGGCCACATTTATCATTAAAAAAGCTGCTGTTTGTATCGGGTGATGGAGCTTTAAACTAAATATTGTTTTACTATCTCATGCAAGTTTTAAGCATTACTTGTACTTATTTTCACACTGTACTGGACATGAATTGAAACCATTTGCTGAGATAAATGCATTCACTATTTTTTAATAATTAAGGACCTGTAATAGGCTTTATGAAATTGTCAGCAGTAAAACGAAAAATATGAAATTTGTAGAAATGTGTCAGTGTTTCATCAAATTCATGGACTCAGTATACTGTTTTATTAACATCGAATACAATATTTAATTTCCAATTGATAGATGAAAAAATGTCATGTGAGACTGAAATATGGACCAAAGTAGTATGATGGTGCTGCACTGTGAAGGGAAGACAAACTTGTACATGACTGTGGTGGAGGATGTTCTAAAACATTCTGGATAATAAAAGGCCTTGTTGAATGAAAATAAGCCAAAGCCTTGCTGAGGTTTATGTCTTAGCTTTGAAAAGAACATAAATGTGTTTGACACACAGTGAAGCTTGAGATTGAACAGCACACCAACATTCAGCAGCCCACAAGGCAACCACAGGACACACTGCATGTCAAACAGCAGCTAACTTGTTAAAAGTTGGTGGTGCTTTACAAAATACCCAGAGGTAAATCTCACAGCGATGGCAACAACATCTCAGCAGTCAGGGCACGCAGGCGAGACGGATCCTGAAAGAACAACAAAGGCTAATTTGAATTGAAAAGTGTATTTTTCAAAGTGGAGCTGTTCAACAGCAGTCTTACTGTATTACTTGATTTAAAAAATGTACAGTATGTTACATGTATCTTATAAAACACAGGATGTTTTATGTATTTTTTGTTGAGCTTTGATGTTCATTCTTGATCTTGGAAACAGTACTTGGCTAAATAATCTTACTAACAAGGACCATTTAGGAACTGTTTTGGAGCTTTCAATCATAACACATGATCTTCATCAGCAGATATAGTTTGCCCAGTTGTCTTGAAATTGTAGATGTTTATATTTCATTTTCTCCCCCCTAATCATTTTAAAGAAGAGGTTAGACATTTTGGGATATGTGCGTATTCGCTTTATGCCGGAGAGTTAGATGAGAATATCAATACCACTGATTCTTGTACTGTAAATATGAAGCCACAGCTTAGCTTAGCATATAGACTGGAAACAGGGACACGGCTAGCCTGACTCTGACTTGACAGAGAGTGGTATCGATCAAAAAAGCAAATTTCCTAAAATGTGGAAGTATTCCTTCAAAGAGTTTATTCAGTTGAAGTGAATAATTAATGAACCATCTGGTGATGAAGATCCTGATATGTGATCGAAAGCTCCAAAACATTTACAAGACGGGCCTTGTGGTGCCATTGTTTACAAGGTCAAGAATTACATTTAAAGCTTAATTTTAACATGGTAAGAATAAGAAATGATTAGAAAAATACTTTCAATTTTGAAAATGTTACGTCAACGAGCAAATACTGTAATGTAGACATGATTACAAAGGCCTTTGGTCGTCATTTCACTCAGTTTTTACATAAAAAAAAATCAACACTATTTAACAACAATATTATGATAATAAAAATCTCATCACTATATATCACCCAGCTGTACTTGCAAATAGAAAATGCTTTGAACATGTGTTGCCATCTTCCCCACTACAGCTCCTGTAATAGTTTCAACTTTAGTTGAACTTGTTAAAATACACTCTACTGTGCACTTCTGGGGTTCACTCACTGCTTTAGGTCTGTCTATTCTTGCGTTAGAACGGCTCCTGGCTGTTTCTGCTCTCTGGTGTCTTGGCTCTGCAGCAAAGTCCTGAAGTGCGGTGTGGTTTGTGAGGCTGCCAAGCTGCTGACTGACTCCGTGTGGACCTGAGACGGAAATAGAACAGAGACTTAACTGTACTGCTCCACAATACAATCTATATCTGTAATGGAATTTAAAATGCCATCACAAAAAGTATCTTGATAACATGATTGCTTTAATTTTACTCCTGAACTGCATGAGCAGCTAAAAATCAAGGTCTATCTCCCAAGATATGATTTTTATCACTTCACTGCTCTGAGATGAAGGGAAGACAAGATACCGCGGTGGGTACAGTACCTGCTGAGGGACTTCTAGTTCTCAATCTGCTGGCTGACAGCGTGTAATAAGTCCTGCTTTGCCCTGTGATAGAACATACAGAGAGAATTGAGACTGAAATATCAAGTCAGATAAGAACAGAAAGTGGCCAGTATCCAGAGACAGAAGGAGGCGCTATCATGCTGCCTGTCTCTGTTGGCGTGTACCTGCTGTAGAGGTGCATCCGGAGAACGCAGGTTCCATGTCGTTCACCTGGTTCTGCAGTCTGTCCACTTGCTGAAAGGCTTCTTGCTTGAGGCTTCGCTCCTGCTGTAGCTGGCCCCTCACCTACATGCACGCAACCAAAAGTTTAAAATAAAGTTGGAGGTATGTTGACCTTAAAGCTGAATCTAGTGTTTGTTTTTACTTGAAAATTTCAGTTAAAACATTAAGGCACTTTGTAATTATGTAGCTTGTTGTCCTGAAGATATCAAAACATCAGAGAAACTTTGAAAGTGCTCTAATGTTCTTTTAGGTAAACTATAACATATCTATCTTAAATGTTTGTCTGAAAAGTTTTAGTTTGTTTGTCTTCAGTCTGTTTTCATAAGGCACCAACACTAAAGAGCATCTCTTTTAGTTCAAACACTAAAACACAGAAGCAATCTATTCATTTTTTTCCATGTCTTTCACAAAAACTTTTTCAGTGACTTAAACACACAGACCTAAACACGAATATGGTTAATGGCTTTTTTTTCTTCATAAATTTTTTGCAGATTGTTGCTATCCAGTGGAAAAAAAAACAACAGACTTTTGGTTGATTTAAAATTTTCAGGTAAACTGGGTTGAGAAACTTCTACTTCTTAAGCTAAATGTACCATTAAAATGAGAAAATCTGAAAATGAATTGTCACAAAGCTTTTTTGCTCAGCTCATTAAAAGCACATGATTGATATGAAATGATTTGTCTCCTCTGTGCAGTCTGTAACTATTTGTGCATGAACACACACTCACACACATCAGTTTACGTAAGATCCTTTACAGACCTGACGGATCTCTTTGGCACTGCGTTGTCTGAGTATCTGGTTCATCCTGCTGCCTCTGTCCAGCTGCTCGCTGAGCGCCCTGAGCTGTCTTTCTCTGTCCTCCATGTCTGCTTTCATTTGTTCCAGGCTCTGCACTCGATAGCTGTCCAGCTCCTGCCTGCTGCGGGCCTCCTGTGCAGACTGATACCTGGCCACCTGGAGCTCTTCTGTCTGTGTATCAGTGGGTATTTAGTGAATACATTCAGGCCGCACTCATATTTTCTTAGCCTCTCAGCGATTGACATTATGACAATTTAAAACGTAACTTCTATATAAAGACCTAAAGCACCAGAAATCAAATAATAAGGTATGCTCTACAATACAGGCTGATCTTTTTTCAAAGACAGCAAATGTACAGCAGTTTCTAATGCCATACTCTACTTCCCACTTTGTTATTTAGGCTAAGGAGAGTTGTAATGGTTAATGTATTGACACTTTTTTTGATTTTGATAGTTTTGAGCAGCAAGCATAAATGGCAACAACCACCAGTTGTTCCAGCTTCTTAATATGAATATTATCTAGTTATCTCACTCTTCTCTGATTGTAAGCTGAATATCTATCAAAACGAGACACATGAAGATGTCACTTTGGGAGATTGTTACTGGTATTTTTCACATTTTACAGACCAACAATAAATCGTTTAATCGCTAAAATTATTGGTAGATTAATTGATGATAACACAGCACGTTATTACTTCAACATCCTCCTAAGTGCACTTTAAAGATACACTTCCTGATTTCTGTGGCACCTAAAAGTGCCAAAAATCTACAGATTTCCTTTTGAGCTGTTAAGTTTGAAAACGTTAACATAGTTCCTAGTCAAGACTGGAATGAATGGATAGTCACAGAAGACACATACTTGAGGAATAATTTGAGCAATAGTTTATGTTTAGACTCTAAACTAAGTAAGTACCAATAGATTTTCATGTCATATATACAAAAACTGAAGGTGTATTAATACATTAATGCAAGATTTATACCAATTTTGCAAGCAACATTATATTAATGACAGATGATATCAGATGAAACAGGTGAGAACAGGTAACATTTTTAACTCAGAAATGTAACTGTGTGTGAGTTTTTGCTCTACAGTCGATGTTCATGATTGGGCAGCAGTGATGCATGGATGAGACTTTATGTACCTTCCTGCTGAGCAGCTGCTTGGTGCTACTGTACTCGGCCTGACAGCGGGATAACGCCTTCCTCGCGACCTCCAGCTCCTCCTGCAGGTAAACTACCTCCTCCTCCGATGTCATCTTCACTCTGAGAGCTTCAGCGCGACAGATAATCTCCCTCTGGACAACGTGAAAAATGTCATAAAAATGTCATAACCATTTATCATCATCGCTGTGACGCTGTGTTTACTTACCCAAACAGTGTTTCAGCAAGGTTTTATGATAAATATGTTGGATTAAGATAAATACAAAAATGTTCAATTGGAGAGAAGTCTGGAGTGACAAATATTGAATAAAAGACTCAAAAGTAGAGTTTAATACATAAATAAATTAATCAGTGAGTTAAATAATTAAATGCATTGTTGCAGCAAATTATATTGTCATTCACCTCACATCAGTTAATTATATTTAAAACAAATTGTATTTTAAGCGCACTTTGCTTATCATCACCATATAAGCAACAAGGACAATAAAAATATTTTGAGCATAAAATGTGAATTACATAATTAAACTGTAGGAGGACTAAGAAAAAAAGAAGAGTGAGGAGCTACAAATTGTTAGAGCCATTAAGAAAACATGGTTAATCTTTTGGATAATTTTGTATTCATAAGTTATATTAATTTTCCTTTGTGTTTCACTTGGTAATATTTTATGTTCATCTCAGATGGATGTCATAGTGTAAATAAAATAAACAAATAAATAAATATCCAGTAAAAGAAATTTACTTTCTTAATTGATTGCAAAAGCAAACGGAAAACATAAAGCTTTTAAAGGAATTGAGCATATTTAACTACATTACTATTCATATGTATTGAAAATAAAGGACACTGAGGAGCACAGAAAGCAAAGCTTTTGATTCCTGGTGCTTGCTTTCACTCAAGACATTGTCTGCCTTGTCGTCCTGTGGGAGAAGAATATTGAATATTCCTGCATTTTTTTCTGCTGACCTGCTGAGTCTGAAGCAGCTGTCGATGAAGTTTCTCTCGGTCGACCAGCTGCCTCCAGCGGCTCAGAGCCTTTAGTTTGCAGAGCAGAGCCGTCAGCCGGCTGTTCTCCAGGTTCAACTCATGGACTTCTTCTTTCTAACAAAACAGGCAGGACACACCGGTATGTTTAAACGGTCATGAGCGGGGATTTTAAAATATTTTTAAACAAGTTTCAAGGTAAAAGATTGACATTCTTAACACAAAAAAAATCAGTGAGCTGTATTTTTTATCATCAAATAAATCCAATCAATCTACGTAAACATTCAGTTCATGCTTGAAAAAAAGTCCATGTTCTTGCACCATCTGCCTTCCTGTACCTTTAACTGTGTGAGTGAGAGTCCATCATTGTCTTTGGTGCAGCCGTACTTCTTCTTGAGCTTGATAATTCGGTCCACTCCTTCGCCTCTTATTCTGTTTACCATCTCACTCACATCCTGCTCCATCTGCATGTGGTGCTCGTCAAGCTTGGCCTGGGATACAAACCAAATAAAGGTCTTTAATGGCTCCAAAAATAAACAAGATGTGAAACTTGGAAATCGGATTGAATTGAAGCTGCAAATGGCAATATTATACAGTGAAAAAACAATACAGTAGTTTTAACAGTGGGCCGCATACATAGAGCTACTGCATATGACTAAAATACTACAATATTTAAAATGTGAAGATGAACTTGCAAACCAGAAAGAGTTGAATTAATTTTGTCATTTGCACCGTGACACTAGAAATCACTCAGAGGTGTATAATTCTCTAACTTTAAAGTTTAAATTTGTAGAAAAGAAAAAGATAGACAGATATATGTTGGACCAAAGAATCAAGAAAAACATGATTTTGACACCTATACTCATTATTTGATCAAGAAGAGGTCTTCAAACATACAAGATAAAATTTCTCACCGTTAGCTGGATGCAAGTGGAGAAGAGGTGTCGGACCAAAGGGTCGTAGCGTTCTTTGAATTTGAGTCGGAGTTGCTCTTCTAGAGTGCTCTTCTGTTCTTCCAGGTGAGCGACTCGGGCCTGCAGCGCTGAGATCTCCAACATCATCCCACGACATTCGGCCACCACCTGTTATACAGTAACACAGCACAGAAACATTTTATTGCTGTTTTTATTTAAGTCACTTTATCTCACATTATTTCTCCTTTTTCCAGCATGTGACCCACAAAGTCACCTTTTTTTTGTAATTACTAATTGCAGTAGTTACCTCTTTGAAAGAGTTGCTTGTCTGAAAGTCCTTAAGAGTGTTTAAATCCTGAGGATAAAAATGGAAAAGAAATCATACAACACATTAAAGAACAATACAGCCATGATTTTGTGAGCTATGAAAATGGTTACATGTGCTACTAAAAACACCTGGTAACTGGTACAGTTGATCTTTCCTGGCAAAAAAAAGTCTTCCATAACAAAAAATACTGTACTGTGTACTAAGGTGATAATGTACCTGTTCTCTCTGATACAGGAGCTGCGTCTCCTGCTGCAGGATTCGTTCATAAAACTGTGAGTACTGCAGGAAGCTGCGACGCTCTCGCTCCATCAGAGAACAGCCGAGGTGAGTGAGACACTGCTGGAGGCGATCCTGAGCGACCGTCAGCTGAAATAAGAGACACTCACAAGTCTTATTACTCGGCATTTAAACATCAGCAGTACAACAAATACAGAAGTTTCAGAGTACCAGTGAGCATAACAGTGTAGTTAAGGAAGCAAAAGTAAGTGTGTAGAAATGTACAGATTTGTTTCGTTAGTTTCTATAGTGGTAATTTGTGTAAAGATAAGAAAAGGTAAACAAAAGTAGGACATGTATGCCTTCATCTCTTTTTAAGTACTTGTCTGTATTTAAATGGGTTTTTACAAGTTTACAAACTGTATTTATTTAAGTACTCTATTTAAGTACAATTTTTAGGTAATTTTACTTGAGAATTTAAACATTATGCTAAAGTTACTAGTTACCTTACAGATTGAGATTTCGCTAAAAAAACATATGATGAATTAAAATAAAATAAATATAAAAATAATATATTGTGTTATAGATTAAACTATCCAACAGTATATTAAGTTGGTAAAATGTACTCCACCACCAGCTGTTACATTAAAATGCTGCTTACTGTTTTTCAGTAATAATATTCCACTAACATGATAAATATAATAATAATAATATATATATACCTGAAAGGGACCGTTCTACCCAATGTACTGAATGATGGACTTTTATTGGAGTATTGCTACTTTTATTTAAGTAAAATATATGAGTCAGAAAACAGTAACAGCATGTTATTAGCAGGTATTTGCAGGAATACATAATGTATTTATTGTGCATCATTTTGCATTTGCATATTATTATTATTATGATGTTACTGAGAACCTGTCCCTCTGCCTCTTCAGCTCCCTCCATCAGCTGCTGGATGAAAGTCTCCACAATCTGCGGCCGCTCAGGGGACAAACTGTACTTCAGTGGGACTTTCTTCCACAACTCTGACCACACACAGAATGTTTTTTATTGTGACTGCAATTTTATTTTTTTTCTCATCTGCATTAATTCAGTGCTAAAAGATAGATTTTTGTGTTTTTTTGGGTACCCGTAGGGAGGCCTGAGTCCTGTCGAGTTCGCTCTGAAACCACCAGGGTCAGCTCTCTGTTCGTCTTCCTCTGCACCGCTCTGATCATGTCACACTCAGTGCTCTCTAGCAGACTCTGAAGCTGAGAGGAAGACGGTGTATCTTACAAGGTACAAATACACATGACAATATTTTATGCTGTCAGTAGTTGTACTGTACCTGCCAGGCTTTCACGTCAACCTCTGAAGCTCCAGGGGGGGGCAGGAGAGACGGGCTGCCAGAAATTAAGACCTCGTAGTCACGCTCCTTACCCATTTGTTGAGCCAGAGCTCTCATGCTGGGGTTAAATATTTCAGCTCTGTGAAGCAAGTACAGCCAGTTTAAATATGGGATTAAATAATACTGTGTGTTTAAAACAATTATTGTTTTAGCCACCAGAAAAAGGCAGTTCTGTACTTGATATTAAAAAGTTCATTCTTGATCAACAGCCGAAAAAAAATAATCCTACTACAAGGAGCTTTCAACCATATCACATGATCTTCACCAGTTGCCCAGTTGTCATAGTCATGTTGCACTTAAATTGTCCCTGACCACAGCTGGTACATGAGTGAAAGCTTCAGAACAGCCACTAAATGGACCTTGTGGTGAGATTAAACTATTGTGTTAAACTGTTGTGTAAAACTATTTTTTAACAATGAAATTGGACTATTTAAATAAAAAAAATGTTGTGGATTCAAAGAACACTTTTATACCAACAGATAAATAAAATAAGGAAATAAAATGCCTGTAGCTTTTACAGTATATTAAATTGGTCGTGGGCAAATTGACTCTCTGCTATCTGATACTTATTAACAAAATATAAGCAAATCTATAGACAGCTGCCTGAATGTAATATAATTTTCACTGTTTCTGAACCGCCATACCTGTAGAGTTTCACAAACTGTTGATACACAATGGCCTCTCTGAACATTTGATTGCCGAAACGTCTTCGGGCCCAGCTCTCCTTGAACACCTGAAGCTGCTTCGTCAGCAGGAGGAAACCTTTCAACACAGACTGGACTCTGATTGGATCCTGTAGAAGAGTGGCGTCTGACACACAAGTCTTCTTATTCTCTTCTTTAGCTTCCATGCAGAGATTATCCCCCTAAAACAAAGACAAAACATCGTTAACGTGACGTCAATAATATAATTATGTGGGTGATACATTAAAAGGAATTATTTACAGTTTGTATAACAGCCTTTTACTTTATTAGGTTTTCCATCGTGCAGAAGGCCATCCTTGTCGCCATCGAGACGGACAGGCTCTGCCTCTCTTCCACTGTTCAGGACGTCCTCCATGAGCAGTGACACACCGAGGATCGCCGCGTTTGCCTGCAGTCTGCTCCGATCACTCAGACCACTCAGACACAGCTGCAGACAAACACAATTCCTCTGATTTATCTGTGGAGGACCTTGCTTCCATAAAAAGACATACAATCAGTAAGTGGTGTTTTTCTCCTCTCTAATTCACCTTCCAATAGATAAAGCTTACTGTAATTTGAAGTAAAATCAATTTGAGAACCAGAGTGAAGGTTAAAAAGTCTCACTTAGCGCACCCCTCGAGCCTGTAATTATTCTTGTATCCCAAAATACCAGAGTATGAAACAGATAATTTTGCTGTCGCCTCAGAAGTAATCTGGGTTTGAAAAGGGCTTTAATATCCTCAGCAACTTTGATCTTCACCAATCTTTCTGATAGATTCGGAGATATCTTGTGTAAAACATTCATAATTTCGACTGAGGGGTATAAGTTTTTCCCAAAGGGTGAGAGTTTATCATCTAGGGAGCATGATTGTGTGTTTATTTTTAAGCAATTTGTCTGCTAATGTGATATTTGTTGTGTACAAATGCTAGTGCTAGAGGAAACAAAGTCATCGGGTATCTTCATCTGGAGTATTTCATGGCAGTGAAATCTTTTTCTGGATCAAACCACCACTAACAGGCAAAAATATATGAGATCTTGAACCTGCATGCAGTATTCGATGGGAGGGATGTCCCACACATGCAGAGGGAACAATCCATGACAGGCTATGAAGCTTCTCCATGGATACATTTGCTGTGCCTGCAGGGCAAAACAACACAGGACAAATTAAATATTAAACAAAAATTCCCCATAGTCTTGACATGTAGGACGCATGTGATATGATATGTGTCCACTGATATCACGTAGCTAAACTAACCTGACAGCCTCGAGTCTCTAGAGGTCGAGGAACAGGCAGCGTGATGCTGAACACGTCAGTCTGGATACTGTCACTCAGCAGGGTGAGGGCAGTCGCCATGTTGTCGCTCACACTCTGGTAGGAAGCAACATCACCAGATGAGAGGAACACCTCCCTGAACACAAGAGAAACATAACAGAAAGGGTCTTACCATCCTTTATTACATAGCAATATAAGAGATGATAGGAAATGTGGGGAGAGAGATGTGGAATGACATGCGACAAATGTCCCCAGCCGGATGTTACGGTTTGTGGTCAGATCCTTAATAGGCCACCCCACGTATTAAATCTTATGCAATTATTTGTTTAAAATGAGCAAACACCTTACATCACCCAACCATTTTATAATATCTTGTATAAAGATCAATTTGGCAGTTCTAAGTTGACGTAGGCAAAAAGAAAATGCAACAATATGAAATAACTGCTAAATTTGTGTGAAGCTGGTGTAAAGCTCTTTCTCTGTGTTTTTAAGGCCTGGCACAAAGAAAAATTTAATTTTGTGAAGGATTAGTGGGGAAAATCAAAGTCAAAGGGAGACAGTTAATATAATAGAAGGACAGTGGGAACCAGCATCAGAGCCCCACTGAAAGCAGAAAACAACACACACATGCCTTTCAGTAAATTGTGATAGAAAGTCAGTGAAGGCAGAGAAAGATAAAATTGTTTAATATGACAGCTGTAAACAACAAGAGTTTTTACTTCTCAGAGCCACTGACCTGATGAGGTGTCTAACAGCAGTATCAAACTGCAGGAGGAGGACCTGCCTGCGCAGCTGCAGCAGACGGCCGACAGACTCTGGGCTGCTGGGATCAGACAGACAGTCGACCTGACTCTGGAGCTCCAGCAGCTCTGCTCCTGTACCGCACCCAGAGGGGAGGACACATTTAATGGGATTACTGTGATTGATTGTCAACATATACTGGTTTATATTGGTCTTTTATTAGATACTGAATGCTGCCTGGTCAGTGTTATCAAGCTGAAACTGAATAGATGGCCATGAAACCTGTCTCTAAAATATTTTGCTTGTACACATTTTATGTATGTACATTTTCTATGAATAATGTAACTCCTTCAACTCATACGTTTCTTTGAATTTCTAAACTTTTTCACGTACAGTGTTCATAAGGTATATTATAACAGTATAACAGTATACTGTATATTCTGAAAAAGCTTGTTGCAAGTACAATACTGAGATCCTTTACTTAAGTAAAAGTACAAATACCATCCATCCATCCATCGTCAACCGCTTATACTGTGTACAGGGTACACAGGGTACACGCGGGGGGGCTGGAGCCAATCCCAGCTGACATTGGGCGAAAGGCGAGGTACACCCTGGACAGGTCGCCAGTCCATTGCAGGGCCACACATAGACAGACAACCACTCACACTCACATCCACACTAAGGACAATTTTAGAGACACCAATTAACCTAGCCTGCATGTCTTTGGATGGTGGGAGGAAGCCGGAGCACCTGGAGCGAACCCACGCAGACACGGGGAGAACATGCAAACTCCGCACAGAAAGGCCGGGGCAACCCGGGGTTGCTAACCACTGCCCACAAGTACAAATACCATAGTCTATAAATACTTTGTTAAATGTAAAAGTCCTGAATAAAAATAATTGAGGAAGAGGTGCCATCTTTAATTGTAATTATATAATTACACAATTATATATGTTGCACGTAAAAAAGGTTTTAATTTAACTAATAAAATGATCTGAGCTGTATAAATCTGCCCATATGCTGAACTTTATGACATTTAACCTCAGTTACGTTTTCAGATTCAGTTCAATAATACAAAATATAATCAATTAACAAATACAATATTATGTATTATATTATGTATACACAGTGATATTACTACTTTTACTTAAGTTAAAGAGTACTTTTTCCACTACTGATGATTAGTACTAGCATATACTTGGTCAGGTGGGAGGCTTTGTTTACAAGATCCACCTACCAATGCCTTCAGTGCCTCCCCAGTCTGCTGCGAGTGAGCCTGGTACTTCCTGTCCTCTCCTGTAGCTACAGGAGTCGTCTGTGTTTCCCAGTCTGGAGAAACTTATCAGGTAATAAATTATGTCATGAAGAGCTGAAACTATCTGCAGAGTGTGATGGAGAGCTGTGGCACATGCCTGTTGAAACAAAATTGTACAAGAAAATAAATACCAGAAGTTAAGGCCATAAAAATTATGTGAAAAGTGAATTATAGACACTTGTGTAGTTTATAACTTGTCTTGTCTTATAATTTTCCTCTTCCAGCAATACGTGACCCAGGAAGTCAAAAGCAAGCACTAAAATACTACACATAAACACATCTACCAGCTCTGTGGTACACCACTGCATTCGAAGTTATTCATGGTTGTGAGAAAAGGAGCTAAGCTTATCACGTGTTGTGCTGATGTGTTAATAATCTCACTTAAGTCTTCAAACCTCACCGAAACATTCAGTGTTTTGAACATGTGAAGCACTTCAGTGAAGTGGGGGATGAACCACAAGTTGAGAAGAGTTTTGCCGTCTGCAGACAACACCTGCTGTGGCTGATGTGGAAAGGTCCTATAAGAGAGAAACGTTTGATTAATACTGTATAATCTGTGTTTTTAAATACAAAAAGCATGTCCCCTTAAATACCCTACACCTACTCCTCATCCTTAAAATTTCACACCAAGATGTGAGAGTACACAAAGACCTTTTCTTTTACATTTAGATTTATTTATCGCATATTTTCCATAGTCCTGAACATAACCTAGATTTGTTGTTACTGTACATTAACAGATAAATCTAATATAATCTTATGATATATTTATGGGTGTTGTAACCATTTTTTTCCTTTGCAACAATCTAACTGGGATAGAAATGTTGTGTGTGTAAACACATTTGTGGTTTAGGTGTCTGTGTGCAAGTGTTTCCCTATTCATCAGGGCCTGTGATGTATGTATGATTACTTTTCTAATGTTGCACATGAAATATACATAAAATCCATGCTGGTTGTACCTGGTGTCAGGGCAAAGGTCAACTCCAGAATCCAAAATGGCTCTGGGCTCGTTGGTTTTCCCAATCATGAAGTGCGACTGACGGATTGAGGGTATGTCGTCCAAAAACAAGGTTAGACTGTTGCAATATGCAACAATCTGCGCTCTCACACAATACTGAGATATCTGTGTGCTGAATCTGTGGAAAAATTGGCAGAAACAGTATTTACCTCTAACATGTTATCTACTGTACATTGAGTAAAAAAACTCATCAGGTTGTATATTGTGTTGTAACAAAAGGAATGCAGATGTTTTTCATGGGCATACTTCTTGAGAAAGTCGATTATGAGCCTCCTTTTGATCTTTGCAGATTCCTCCTGCAGTGTGAGAGAAATTAATTTTACTTCATGGGCATCCAATTACATTTATCATCCTGCTCAGCCGCCTGAGAATCCACCACCGTGCACAACTCACTGGGGTTTTTATTAGACCCCCCACGGCCTGCTTCTTCTTCATAAATGAATTCAGCATCTCGTCACGCAGACCCACTTTTTCCAGCTGGATGGACACAAAGGCTTCCATCAGCCTGGAGTAACGAACGAGATTCTGTTTATTAAAGAGCCAGCACAAGAGCGCTGTTAATCATCGGCAATGTCATTTGTTCTTCAAGTGGGGAAAAGTACCTCTCCTTGGTGGTGGTGGTGGGAGTTCCTGCAGGGCAAGAGGGAGAAGTATTCGATTGTTCCTGCACTTTGTTGGTGTCACTTCCATGTTTGGCTTCAGATTTTACATCTTTATCAGAAGGAAGGGCTACTTCACTCTGGGAATTAATTGGAAAACAAACAATGAAATAATGTGTACCGCTGTAAGAGATATATATATATATATATATATATATATATATATATATATATATAGTGGAGTACAATATTTCATTTTGGAATTTAGTGAAGTACAGTACTTGAGTAAATTTTCGCACACCTCAGCTGAAGACGTCACACTCTCTGCCCAGTGACAAAGACAAACCAGTTTCACAGCACTTAACAAAGCGTTCTTCTGTGTCACCTGACAGGCCAGAGTCACCTGCAGGTTTTCTATACTCTGTCTGTTCATAAGCTGCGAATAGAGATAAGAAAAGGAGTAGATTCAGTAAAATACTAGGCTGATTTACAATTTGATTGGTTTGTTTCTTCATTTGCTAACAAACCCCAGCGTTTCATTTTTACGCACATGAACAACAGCCTCCTCTGAGCTGAAGCTGAACCTCCCGATCTGGTTCTCATCCAGCTCCTGGATGCTCAGAGGCAGGTGGGACGGTATGAACCTGCAGCAGACAGTGTACTTCAGGTCCCTTTTAAACATACCTCACTCCTCTTGTAGAAAAGCAGAAATAACACTACTACACATAGCAAGGCAGGGCTTTGAGGGGAACACATGCATATAGTATTTCTGAATTGCTTGTGAGACAAATCCTGTTTTATGTGTTATAAAATGTGTTTTATATTAGTAAAGAACATTACAGCTTTCTGATGATCTGCTAACTGACTTTAATGTAAGGTTGAGTTTGATATAAGAACAGTTAGATTATTAATAATTAAAGCATTTGACTGAAAAGTGTGGGTACTTGCCTGTCCACAGAGCTGTCATCTTCCAGTATTGCTGTGATAAAAACAGGCCTCTGCTCAGCTTTGTCATTATGTTCAGCAACCTCAAACTGCACAGGCCTCAGGTAAAGGTGGAAGTCATCGAAGCCGAGCTCTGAAGCCACGTTTCTGTACAACCTGTGAAGAATTACTGAATGTTACAGTTTGACATGATACGTAGCTTAATGAATAACACTGGATGATTTCTGCATGTTCACCAGACCGACAAGTGAAGACTATATGTCATCTAATGGAAGTTGTAATGTGTCACCAGAAATTGTTAATTTTAACCAATAATAATGTTTAAATCACAGGAAGTCCAACTCTTTCATTGTCCAGGTATTGACCTCCTCCTGCCAAATGCACACACATTTTTTTAGTTTTCTGACACAATATTGATGCTGAATGGCTCCATGTTATAGAAATAACACAGAAGGAAATGAGAGAGGCTCTTTTTGTCTTTTCTGAGAAAACTGAAACGGTGCCCGGCCAAAGAGAGCTCATGTTACTGCTCAGTTTCTTACATTACTGTAAGTTGTGGACAAAGTTGAAACGGAACACATAAAAGAGGAAAAATGGATTATTTTAGGAAAAAATTAAATTACAAAATACCAATCCATTTACACATTTGACTATACTACTATTTGACTATAATACTATATACTACTAGATAACACTGTATGTGGGTGTATACACATGGCCCCAAATATTCTGGTTTTATACTAATAATGGATAAAAAAAAAAGCACAGATCTCTTTACAAGTACCCCTGAACCCCGGTGTGAATGTTATCTTAACTGTGCCAAATGTGCAGTCTCTGACGCCGACTCCAGCAGACGATGGCGGATGGTAATGAGCTCCAGCAGCTTGGAGAAAGTTTCCACAGCATACACCTTTCTCTCTCTTCCCTGCGTTATGTCATTCTCCTCTGCAGATCTTATTAACAACAGTCCCACTTTTTGGACCAAAATCGGGTCCTCAAAAAACACATCTGAGAACAACTGAAAGTGGACAAAAAGAAGTTTGAGTTATTTGTTTTATTTATTTATGTAAATTTATTTAAATAGATGATCAAGAGAGGAAAAACCTACATCCTTCTGTATCTGAGAGCTGTAGGAGGCCCCGGGTGAAGCTAGGTGCCTCCAGCTCTGCAGAGCCCGCTGTAGGAGCTTCTGTCGCAGGGCAAGTTTGTGAGTGACGCTCGTGGCTCGGTGCAGCTGACAGAGCTCCGTGTGAGCCTGAACTAAACTGTGATAGACGGCAGAAGCCAGGCAGAGGGATGGATGAACCTCCAGAAGGAACACATTCATCAGCGCAGAGCTGCAAACACAACACAAGAAGAAGAATAAAGAGATATTAAGACCACAACATTCCATTTTACCCTGAACACCAAGTCCAGGGTAGTTAGACTTCTGTATTTACTTGCCTGCTGCCTCCAAGTGAGACCAGATGTTTGGGAACGTATTTTGGTGGAAGGCCATAGTCACAGACGGAGCCTTTGTGGTCATCTCTCCAGATGCGTTGGAGGTACTGCCGCTGTCTTTCAATCTGATGAGACAAACAACACATTCTGTCACAGCATGTAAACTATAGATTAAAATAACATACAAGACAAGACAAAACTAAATAAGGTGTATTAGTACGCACAAAGGTCGCTTTTACACATCAAGATTGTTTTTAAAAAAAAGATAAATTTTTCCAAGACTAATTGTCTATGAAAGGGCAAAAATGAGAATGAAATGCCCATCAAAACTTCCACCGTGAAGTCTTTAAATCACTTGTTTTGTCCAAATCACTGTTTGCCAACAGTTCAAAAGTGAAAGACATTTAATGATCTTAATAAGACAAAAGCCAAGTAGCAAATCTGCATATTTGAGAAGCTGGAAGCAGGAAATATTTGCCATTTTGTTTGAGCAATGACTGAAACAAATAATTTTCGTTTCAATCATCTAATTAATCGATCAGTTGACAAATATTTGTTGCATCTCTAATTCGAACAACAGCATTAATACATTTGCATGCTGCACATTCACACGTGAATGCACGTCTTTTGCTAACTTTTCACCTGATTGTCCAAAATATGTCTGATCAGCTGCTGGTGGCTTCGCAGGCAGCCTATCTCAGCTCTGTAGGCCTGAACAAAGTAATCCTGGTTCAGGTTCAGTTGTGGCCTACTGTGCATGATGTCAGTAATAACTCGAGCCAACGCAAACCTCTCCTCCGTCCCTGCTGCATGCTGGTAGGCCTCGTAATAACAGTTCAAGAGCTGCAGCACAAGCAAAAAGCAAAAGATAATGACATGAAAAGATGAACGGCTCGTTTTGATGAACCTGACTGGCTTTGGAAAATGGGAAATTAAACAGATACATATTGCAGTTGAAAGATCTGAAGAAATTAATAAATAAATAATTTTCTCTTAAATTTAGATTTAAATGACTTAAGTGACTGATCATATGAAGCAATTAAGAGAGAAAAGAGCCAACAAAGATACATAAAAGGCAAATCCATGGATCCATGGTCCTCATTTGTATCACTCTACCTGCACTTTGCTTTCCAAAAACTCCATCTCACATGTCCACAGGTCAAGAAGCAGTGCAACACGGTCAACATCTGTTCCGGCCCAGGAGTGGATGTCTGCTGTCGAGGTGGTGGCTCCCTCTGCGTTTCCCATTTTCTTAACCCTGTTTCTCTGGATAAAGTGTGAGCCGACTAGAAGAAGCTCGTTCTCCAGCTCCTGCAGGTCCTTCAGAGCAGCGTCGTACACGATGTAAAAACCTCTCTGGTCCTGAGTGTGGACAAACTTCTCCTCTGCGCTGTAGAAATCATGAAGATTCTCCACCTCTGTAAATTCCATGAACTCTGAGCAGTGGACCTGGAATATAAAGAAGTCATATTCTGCATTCTTGCAAGCAGGAGAGATCATAAATAGATGGATATTTATTAACCATTTAGAAGCATATTGAGGTTCACAGAGGATAAAATAAAGAAAACGCTGCACAGGCTAATAGGCGGCTTTGTGTTTGGTGAACCAAACAGAAGATGATGCAAAAGACGTTCATGTTCGCGAGTTCAGCCTTCTCTTTCTCTTCTCAACATTTACTGTTGAGTGGGTTCAAGATTCATTTTATACATTCATGAAAAACATACAAATTACAGTGTTCACATCCTAATCAACTAACACTGATTACAAAAACAGAGAATACACATAAAATAAAACCAAACAAACTATTTTTGGTCATATATACCTTTAAAAGGGGCATAAACAAACTATTTTGTTGATTCTATTGTTTTATGTCACTTTCTTTATTTTTGTTAAATAGTAGGTGAGTCCAGAGTCTAAACCTTGATTACCTCTACAAATGTCTTGTTTCCATCATGGAAAATGTTTACAAACTTTAAATTTTACATATTTGGATCCAGATCTACATCTAAAAAGCGTTTAATAGTAGAAAATCATGGGATACATGTGTCGACTAAATGCAGTCACTCGGGAGAAATCAGTTTACATATTTTTTTTAAGATCTGTATCTGTATCTGAACCTGTATCTAGATCCACACCCAAACTTAATCCACACTGTATTTGACATTCTGTTGTAAAGCTTAATCTTTACAAAACAACAACCTGGATCTGGATTTTATCCATATTTGTTTGAAATCTAAAAACAGCTTTTTGAGATATTCTGATGAATAACAAACAAATGAGACATGTTCCTACCTTATAGTCAACAGGAGTGTTGTGGCTGCACTGGAACGAGCCGAGACCTTCTGTCTCTCCACTTCCCCCTCTGGCTGCATTCATCCAGCCTGTTTCCTCTGCTGTGCTGCACAGCTCTCCTTCCTCCAGCTTCAGACCGGCCAGGTCAAAGGTCAAAGTCCTCTCCACAGAGCGCAGGTAGTTCAGCATCCCAAGAGAGATGCGCTGTGGACGGGAAAAGATAAGACAAATGCTGCTAACCAGGTCCTCGATGATTTCAAAATTTGTTACTATTTGCTTTTATTATTCTGCTTCTTTTTGGCAGGCATCGTTCAGTACATCTGAGGATCCTCAGGTTACTACATCACAATGTGCTGCTGTTTGCCTCACCTGGAGCTGTCTGAGTTTGAGATGACGCAGGAATGTCAGAGACAGGTAAGCACCTCTGGTTATGATGGGATCTGAGGTTCCTTCCTCTAAATTATCTTCCAGACCCAGCAGCTGTAGGCTGTCCTCTAAAGAGTAGCTGTGTTTTATAGAGGGAGCAAAGGTACAATTTTACAGAACACTCCTGTGTTTTATGCATTCAAGGTGAGTGAAAAGATGCTGATGTCAGGATTTGTTTTTTAAACAACAAAGAACAAACCTGGAAGCCAACTAAGACAGCAAAGATGTTTGTTTCTTTTTGGATTTGTTGTGGTACTACAGAATCTCCCCACTACCTTGTGTTCTTTTGTTCCCCCCTTCCCTGTGTTTTCTGTCTGTCCTCCCTGTCTGTGTCTGTCTGGGCGTGGCTACACTCTCTGGCTCCAGCGGCGCACCTGGTCCTCATTCCACTAATCAAGCTCCTGCAGTATTTCAACCTAGTCCTCCTCACATTCTTCGCCAGATCGTCAGTTAACCACATGTGGTACATGCGTCAAGGCCAACTATCTACTCCCGTAAGATTCCTTGCAATTTCTTTGTCTCCCTGGATTAACTTGTTTTTCTCTGTGCCCAGGATCACACTACCTCCGGGAACTCTGCTGAACACCACACCCTGCTCAGCTCGCATCTTGCCTGGACAAACTCCCCTCCTCCGTGTTCTCCATTCTGCCCTGTTGGAACCTACCACCCAGTCTTCCGTTACTCTTTTCAATAAAACCCTTTGTTACCCCTTCGAACTGTTCCGAGTCTGCCTTTGAGTCCTTAAGTTCTTGTATTATGACATGATTTGCACAAACTGTAACTTGTAAAACTCAGTGTACTAAAGCTGTTTTTTAAAAATGAATTAATCAAGTCTATGAAATATTACAAAATAATGACAAATGCTAAGTTATTTTTATTTGCAATTAAAAGTGTTAAATTCAATTCAACTTTCCTCTTGACCGGACAAATTGTTTCAATACTTCTGTAGACATCTTGAAAATGAAAACCTCATAATGTAGCAATATTCTCTGCTCAAGTAATAATACGCACCTTCCTTTTGCCGCGCTTGAGGTTTGACTCCTCAAACTCTTCTTCTCGTGGCCTCCTCCGCCTCTAGATGTGGTTGACTCATCATGTGTTTCCTAACAAGAAAGAGGTCACTTTTAATTTAATGTCTTTCAACACATGTAGCGCCGACGCAGGCTGAGAGTTTGTTTTTTAATCCCACCTCTCTAAGCAGAAAAGTAGATGATACATGCCTGAGTGAGAAAGGCAGCGCTGTAAATACTTGTCCAGATCTCAGTGATCTTTAGTCGTTTTGTCTTACTGCAGTGTAAGACAGATGAGGTCGGTGCAGATTGTAACGTGCCAACGTGAGCAGCGTGCTCTTTTATAGTTGTGGCCACGTGGAGCAGATCAGGGACCTGATGAGATACACAGAAAAGACAACTCAACACCTGAAACATGGCTTAAGCTTCATGGTAAAAATGTAGGTTGTATGTGTTATTATACCAGATGATTTATTATATGTGACAGAAAACTTAAACAGACTTATCAGTCCAGCACTTCTGGAGATACAGTTGTATACTTATTTGATCAACATCATGAATGTATACCATCTTTATAAACTATTATGTTGGCGATAATTATGTGTCATATACAAGAAGTTTTACTAAAGTTACATCCAACCCATCAATATCAAATTCCACAATACGAAGACCTTGATTTGGAGCTGACATCACTGTTACCTGCAGAAACCTGCTGTGCATCTTCAGCAGCTCATCAACAGATTTCTTTTCCTTCAGCTTTGTGATGAGCTTCTGCTGCCACGGATCCCATTTGGGTTTCACCTGCAAGACAGAATCCAAACAGTCATAAATTATTTTTTTAAACAGTATTTGGAGAGATTTTCAGACTAATCAATTTATTTACTCTCTTTACCTGAATGAAGGGGATCCAGTTGGCCACCTTCTTCAGAGCCAAGCTTGCACTCTTCCTCCCCCACTGGCTCTGTTTCTCCTCTGTGCCATCGTACTGAGGAAACGTTTTCATCTGCTCTTGCTCTGTGAATATGGCTCTGAACTCCCTCCACACCTGGTGAGTGAGACAGATTCAGACTGACATGTTGCTGGTAACCAACTTCATAGCTTGACTGATGCCATGTCGTACATATTGCAAGGCTTTTGTTTATATGCTGTATCAGTTCAACATTACCACGCTGAATAACTCCATCTCGTCTGCAGTGCTCCTGAGTTTTCCAGTGTCGTAGGACAGGTGGAAGTGAGCGATCAAAGCCTTCAGCTCAGGTAGAAATTCCTCCAGGTGAACAGTGTGCATGGGGACATTATCAGCCAGTCCTGACATACCTGTAGTTGAATACATTAAGTGATAAACTGGTGTATCAAATCTTCTTAGAACTATTTACTACTTATGTCTGAACGTCCTGTTTTCCTTGCCTTTTTTCTCTTTCAACATTTAGATTTTACACAGTGGCCCGTGTAGATGCATTTTAACAATTTGCACAGATATTACTGTGTTGTTACTTTTATCTTGTTGTTTTAGTCAAAGAGAGACTTGTGTAGTCTGGATCCGTCAAATTACTGGCCAGAACCCCATGAAGTTTGGTCCATAAATCACATTTTCCAGCTTCAAAGTTCATTCACTGACCTTGGAAACTGGAGTTGACAAAATTATCTCAACACAAGATCAATTTAGTGGCTGATCTAGGGCTTTTGATCAAATCACATGATTTTCATCGGCAGATGGAATTTGCCCAGTTGTCATAAAATTGTAGATGTTCACATTTCCATTAAATCATTTTGTCAAAAAAACCCTAATCGCTTTGGCTTCATGACTTTCCCTGTAGTATCATTATATCAGACCAATCAGACCATTGTAGACTGTAGCTTTTCCTCTTGTGTACCTTTTCATTTTAATGATTTTTTTTTACTATTGTTTAAGTCCAGGTACTAAAAGCAACAAACGGAAGTAAGAAAACAGAATAGCAAATTAAATCCAGTATGTTGATAGTTTTGTTACTGTTACAATATCTGATGACATGGGTGATTTTTTTATTGGAATCTAGTGTCTCAGTCTCCAAAGGTACATGTTAGGCATATTTCTGGTTTGACTCTCACCATCAACATGTTGAGTGTTATGTAAAGTTTCGTCGTAAACTTTGGGTTGTGGTTCTTTATTTTTTCTCTCACAAGCTGGTATGTAGTGCAGCACCTGTTAAAAAAGTATTTTTTTACTTTGTATTGTCATTTGAATGTACGTGACAAAATTGATTCAAACTGGGAAATCAACATTGCAAAATAAAACAGAGCCATGCACAACAGAAACAGCATTAACACTGTCTTTGTATTTTTACCCTGAGGAAGTTGTGAACAGCCTGAACTGAGTGCAAATGGCAGACCAGCCACTGCAGATAAATGACCACATCATCTTGAGTGAGCAGGTCAACAGGGTTTCCTCGGCTGGTCAGGATCTTCTCTCTGCTCACCGACAGTCTGCGAGCTCTTTGAACGGCGTCCTCGTACTCTCTCGTCAAATATGACACCTGATCCTGAGAGAGAGCAAGTCTGATGTGAGCTGGTGAAGAGTGTATCAGCTGGAAAGTTGCAAGCAGGCGATAAAAAGATTTACATTGACCAGGAAGCCATCAGGGTTGCTTATCTTATTGTGAGTGGTGTAAGTGTTTTTTTCTTTTCACTCATTCTTTGCAAGAGTAGAAAGAGAAGGGATTATCCTGCAACAAGAACTTTAAAAATCTTTGTTACTTCATGTATTTGTGGGTTGGTAGTGTTCTCCAGTCATTCTGACCTGTAGGCAATACGTGGGCTACCATTACTTCTTGAATTTAACACCAACACAGCAAGACAGTAAAACACCAACTTCACTCTCTCAGGTTTCACAGCAGATTTCCCACCCTATTGTAGCATGTTAATCTACGTCCATTACACTCACCACTGTCCATGGTAAAACAATAATAGGTAGAGACTAAAATTACTTGTAGCCAGTTAAGTAGTAACTTAAATATTACACATTTAAATGTATAAATAAAGTCAAGCTGCTATAAATGATAATAAAATATATTTACTGTATGTAATAATAAACTTAATTCAAGTCCAAACTAATATTGTGTGTGTATATATATATATATATATATATATATATATATATATATATATATATATATATATATATATATATATATGTGTGTGTGTGTGTGTGTGTGTGTGTGTGTATATATATATATATGTGTACATACATACATACATACACACACACACACTCACCTAAAGGATTATTAGGAACACCATACTAATACTGTGTTTGACCCCCTTTCGCCTTCAGAACTGCCTTAATTCTACGTGGCATTGATTCAACAAGGTGCTGAAAGCATTCTTTAGAAATGTTGGCCATATTGATAGGATAGCATCTTGCAGTTGATGGAGATTTGTGGGATGCACATCCAGGGCACGAAGCTCCCGTTCCACCACATCCCAAAAATGCTCTCTTGGGTTGAAATCTGGTGACTGTGGCGGCCATTTTAGTACAGTGAACTCATTGTCATGTTCAAGAAACCAATTTGAAATGATTCGAGCTTTGTGACATGGTGCATTATCCTGCTGGAAGTAGCCATCAGAGGGTGGGTACATGGTGGCCATAAAGGGATGGACATGGTCAGAAACAATGCTCAGGTAGGCTGTGGCATTTAAACGATGCCCAATTGGCACTAAGGGACCTAAAGTGTGCCAAGAAAACATCCCCCACACCATTTCACCACCACCACCAGCCTGCACAGTGGTAACAAGGCATGATGGATCCATGTTCTCATTCTGTTTACGCCAAATTCTGACTCTACCATCTGAATGTCTCAACAGAAATCGAGACTCATCAGACCAGGCAACATTTTTCCAGTCTTCAACTGTCCAATTTTGGTGAGCTCTTGCAAATTGTAGCCTCTTTTCCTATTTGTAGTGGAGGTGAGTGGTGCCCGGTGGGGTCTTCTGCTGTTGTAGCCCATCCGCCTCAAGGTTGTGTGTGTTGTGGCTTCACAAATGCTTTGCTGCATACCTCGGTTGTAACGAGTGGTTATTTCAGTCAAAGTTGCTCTTCTATCAGCTTGAATCAGTCGGCCCATTCTCCTCTGACCTCTAGCATCAACAAGGCATTTTCGCCCACAGGACTGCCGCATACTGGATGTTTTTCCCTTTTCACACCATTCTTTGTAAACCCTAGAAATGGTTGTGCGTGAAAATCCCAGTAACTGAGCAGATTGTGAAATACTCAGACCGGCCCGTCTGGCACCAACAACCATGCCACGCTTAAAATTGCTTAAATCACCTTTCTTTCCCATTCTGACATTCAGTTTGGAGTTCAGGAGATTGTCTTGACCAGGACCACACCCCTAAATGCATTGAAGCAACTGCCATGTGATTGGTTGATTAGATAATTATAATTATATATATATATATATATATATATATATATATACATATACACACACACATACATACACACACACATATATATATATATATATATATATATATATATATATATATATATATCTTACCACAGTATGGTAAACTTAAGCAATTAAAATAAGTCAAAAATATATAACGTGTTCAGTTACTAACTAAGGTGAAGTGAAGGTTTTCTTCAATTTCATGTCAGCAGCAGATATGAAAACACATTTTTAATTCATTCATCGTAGTTATTCCAGCGAAATTTCACATAAGTAAGGCGTAAGAAGGAGGAGTAAGATTATCAAGGTCTACTTTGAATATTCAAAATGACAAATATGCCCCTCTATATTTGTATGTATACATATCATGCTAGTAAACAATTACTTCATTAGTTGTCAAAAAAATTATTTTGCTAATCAAATAATCATCAGCATTTGTTCTACTTAATTCCAGCTTCTCACTTATGCGTATATATTTGTCTTATGTGATGGTAAATCATATATTTTTGGGTTTTGGACTGTTGGTCCAACAAAAAAAGCAGTCTGGACACATCACCTTGGGCATTAGGAAACTGTGCTGACATTTTATAGACCAAACAATTGAGAGAATAATCTGCAGGTTAATAAGGAAAATAATGGTAACTTGCAACAAAAGCATCTTTTCCCCCCCTTAATTTACCAATATTGAGTATGATTTGTTCACTGTCCGTGTCATAGTTTTCTCCCTTACGCCCCTGCAGCAGCAGAATATGAACTGTAAGGAGGATGAACCACTAGAAGCAAACCTCCAGTCATTTTGAGGGTTAATGTGTTATTTTTGAAGTGCTGGCAAAATGAAACTCAGGTTGTCACCTTGTAATGAGGATAAAGCTTCTCAGTGATGCTGGTGTGGCGGCAGAATCTCCTCCATCTCAGCATGAGCAGATATTTGATCTGAGCCAAGTGACATGATCTGTCAGTATAGAACTGCAGACACAAAAAAGGAATTTGGTTTAAATGGCTGTTTTCTCTTGTTTCCATTGTATACAGCTGCATATAAAGCGATGTTTTGTTTTCTGGAGTGTTGGTACTGCCCTTACCTGGTGCAGTAGTGGAGGCAGACTGTCAGGAGCGTACTCTAAACTCAAGCAACTATCCAGCTCTCTCTGCATGATGTCAGCCTGAGAGTGAACCGGAAAAGCTTCAGCCACCTGCAACCAGGAGGAGAGTGCAACCCAGGAAAGGCTAAAAAGTTACTAAAGAGTCAAATCAAGTTCAGATTGATCTTTAAATTTACCACTGTGCATTATTCAGAGGCTCTAAAGTTGTTAATGACCTAGAAGTTTACTTCATTTTCTGTAGCCCTTGATTATAATAAAAGATGAATTTTCAGTCTCACCTGAAGCCCTCTCCTCAGTGCATGCTCCCTCTCAACACGGAACAAGGAAATATCCTTTGGAGGTAGAACAGAACTGAAACAAAGCTAAAAATGATTATTTTAAAAAAAGCTAGTGGCCAATCAACATTTAAAGCAAGACTGTGTGACCTTTAAAAGAGGAAAAAGCACTAATAAAAAGTTGAATTCGTTAGCAATAAAATGCACCTTTGCTCATTTTAACACACCTCTTGTTTTACTACCACAGCCTTCAGTCTGGTATGACTAGTAGCTCATGGTAATGTTAGCAACTGACTATATGTGACATTACTGGATCAGTTTGCTGATTTTACTCTACTTGAGCTATGTTTTAGCATGACCCCTATTGTTGCCACACTGGCTTTTGATCATAAAATGTTACAGTCTCGCTTTAACAAGACTTTTTTCACAAGACTTAAGAGTTTACAGCAATGCTTACACCTAAACACAACAGTATGAGCTAAGTACAAATGGCAGAATGCTAACAGGCTAAGGTTTAGCAGGTATGTTTACCAGGTTCACCATCGTAGGACAATGTGTTATCATGCTAACGTTTGCTAATTACAGCACTAAGTAAAGTACTTAATTTGTTGACCAAATGATGGTGCTAGAGGAAACGTTAAATGCAATTAAAATGCATCCTCTAGCAACTATGTGTAGCAAATTTCAAGGGAATCCATCCAATACTCATCCAAATATTTCAGTCTAAGTTAGAAATGTCAACCTCATGTTGGCACAAGAGGGAAAGTCACCAAATTCATTAAGATACATCGTCTGGGGACCATGAATGTCTACAAAATATAATGACAATCCAATTAAAAGTTAAGATATTTCAGCCTGAACCAAAGAGGTGGACCGACCAACAGGGGCGTTCTCAGGCTCTTGAAACATTGGGGGCTTAACCCAGCCCAGAAATATTTCATGTTTTCACCTGAGTCAGTCATAGACTTTATATAAAAAGCGTTCAGTGGGTACGATTTCCTGCGAGAAATGTGTCAACCTTTACGTCACACCACCAACTATGGGCCTTCAGCCATGTATAAGAAGCTAGCTCAGTATTTTCAGTACAGACATCATGGCAGAGGCAAAGAGACCGAACAGGACGTTGACAAAGGAAGCTAAGAAGACGAAAAGAGAGAGTCCAGTAAGAGGCCGGATAAGAGTAAATCTGTGGCTGGCTTTTAGTCCTTGGCGAGAGCTTCACGCAATGAAAGGCTGCAAGACACCAAGCTGGCCTTCTTTCTTGGTGTCAAATTCTGCACAGTGAAACATCCAACTGAGGTAACAACAAGCCAAAGACACTTCTGAGTGGGGGGGGGACTTTAAGTGCAGCCTACCGGGCAATCTATTAGACAGTTTAAAACAAACACAAAGAGTTATTTGCCACTGTTATCTGACACAGACATTAATAATTATAATCACAACCATCAGCCAAGTTTCCACACCTGTAACATTTGGAGGGCACTGCTCTGTGGGGAAATCCGTTCACTTCTATTTCAGCCTGCAGTGCTGAGAGTTGATGAGACAGCTCTGCCTCCATCTGCTCCACTTGAACGGACGAGGAAACTCTGTATACGTCACACATGGCAGACTTTCTCATTGTTCAGGATCAACAAGTTTAGAAACGTTTCGGACATTAAAGAAAATACACCTCCTTAAGTCCTGCCAAATCTCTGCCTACACATGCTGACTTGTTGTGGTGTATCCAAGGAGACAAACATCTATGCAGCCTGGCTTCCTCTCCCATTTCCTGTCCTTGATCTGGACCCAGACAGCATTTGATCTGTAGAGGGCTCCAACGTTACACTGGAGTTCTCCTTTTCCTAGAATGATATTTCAATAGCTTTTTTGATACTTACCACTTTAACTGTAATTTGTATTATACAGTACAGTATGCAGACATGAAATTAGTTGTTGAGCAGCAATCACGCATTCAAAAACCTTGACTTAATCCCAGTGGGTCCATTCCTCTTGGATACAGTGAGTGATTGGTTCTTAGCTCATGCTGTGATTATCCAATAGGAAATCACCTCCGCCATGCCTGCAGCTGTGCAGTTCCTCTACAGACAGAAATAAAAAAAGGAATATCAAAAAACTCCAGATTGTCAGTGGTTCTTTAAGCTTTATTTACATGCACCATCTCTGATACAACCAAGATAGGAATATGAATTACAACTGGCAATGTCAACTTGATATCTCTTTTTTCCTCCCTTTTTTTGTAGGAGCAATAGGAAGAAATGGGAATTGAATATTGGCAGTGACTCAAAATTAATGTAGAAAAGAGCTTCAAGTCAGTATTTTGGATATTTAAGATGAAAGCATCCATGTGAAGCTACAAAAATTATGTTTGGAAGCACAGATGTGCAGAATTTATTTTTGTAAAATCAAAAATGAAGCAAATAGGATTCCATATTTCCGTGACATTAATGTCAACAGGGCGTTACATTCAAACAACCCAATTGAGGTGGTCAGACCATTAAAACAAAAGTGCTTTTACACTGCTCTGCCACACGTCATATATTTTTAAAAAAGCATAAAATATGTACATGTGGAAACTAAAATAAATACAATTTCAATTTAACAAGACAAAATCAGTGATAATTGACAGTTTCCAGCTGATAAAAATGTAAAACTAAAAAAGGTAATCCTGCTGTTCCTACAAAAACTGTGCTGATGTTGGTTTATTTTTGCCCTTATGACAGTGGTTCCTAATATTTAAACACTGTATGTCCTTTTATTTCCACTTATTAAATGCAGAAATGTTTGGCAATATTTAAAATACTGTGGTTGTTTCTTCCTCAAATGGCAAAAATGGCTCTAAGATACTACACAACCTCCTCTCACACAGTTGGAAACTATTTTACCCAGCACCTGCTATAGTGCTGATAACAAAGGAGAGGCTACTAATGCTCCATCTGCAGCCACTCCCTGCCATCTTCTTATTTATAGCACCAAGAACTCTTTCAAATGAACAAACACCAAAATATTGCAGTTGAGTGCTGTGGAGTCTAAGGGTGGTTATTTTAATCCAAATAGTTCTAAGTGTTTGCTAATGTAAATGGTGTCAACTAGAGCTAAATCAAGTCCTTAATTCAGTCCTAAACTCTGTATCTTCCAATATTGCAGTAAGTGGGAGAGGATGAGGAGAGGGAGGTGGGAAATGGTGAAAAGGGATATGCAGCACAAACACCATATTATCAAGACTTCAGTAATGCACCTCTTCAGAAGGAACAGAATTCACAGTAATGTCACTAAAATCACAGGGTAAAATTTGCTAAATAAAAATAAAACATTACATACAAAAACCACACAATGTAGATCAGTTCACATCTTGATAGCATATTAGCCTCTACAGATTGATATTTGGTGCTTGACTGTGCATCAATGGGGAAAAAAGCTTTTCGTTAACACCGGTTTTTAAAATCATTTTGTCAATTTAGGCTACGTCTCTCAAAAATAAAACAAAAAAGTATGTCAAGTATCCTCCACTGGAACGTAATAATGTAACATTCTCTGCAGCGTTTTCTGTAAACAGGCTGTCTCTCACAACAGGCTGACAGCTGGTTTGGCAAAAATGTTGGTTTAGGTATGAAAGGGTGTGAAAGAGGAGAGAAAGCAGGGTGAAAACATAATTCATCTTCAGTTTCATGTATCACTTTGTGATGCTGTATTCCCTGAGACTATCACGAGTTGATGCTTTTCATATTGTTTTAACAAAATGTCCTGTACTTTCATTCCAGTCAATACTGTTGTTCACACCGTCCAGGCATTGATCTTTTTCAAGAATTTTTTGACACCATTGTGTGTCTCAGACACTTAGACTACAGTACCAAACTTAATGCCTCACGTTAAAAATAATGGAAAAGAAAAATACTACATGAATACACTTTCTTCCCTCTAGTTGCACAATGCAGGACAACAGCCCCAATTTACATTTTTCCCACTTCTTTTTTTTAAACCATGACAGAGCTTCTCAGCTTGGGACCCAGCTGTGAGGGGAGGTCTGTTTCGAGCTGGAGAAGCTTCCTGAATTCCTGTTGCCGTTCTGGGCGGAGGTGAGGTGAGAGTCGAAGCTGAGGTCCAGGCAATCTGCGTCCATCAGTTCATTGCGAATGATGGAGTCCATGTCACACTCAAGACTGCCGTTGAACACATCCAGGTCCAGATCGGCAGGAAAGCGGTCCTGGCTGGGCAAACCAGAGCTGAGCTGCATAGAGGGGTTCTTGCTGGGAGACTTCAGGTGCGGCTGCTTGGCGTCGGGGTGGCCGGCGTCGCTGTCAGAGGTTGACAAGCCAGCTTGCCAACCAGGCACTGAAGAGCTTTGGCCCTGACCTGCACTGGCGTGGTTCACCAACATGTGGTCTTTGCGGAGCAGCATGGCGTTTCGGCGGGAGTTCTGCAAAGCAATGGCAGTGCTGGCCTGTGACATCAGCGGGTCAGACTGGGTGAGCATGACATTGCTAGGGCTGTGGGAGTCCAGACTGAGCATATCCTGCAGGGTCTGGTGGTCGCTGAAGTGTGGGATGCATGAGAAGGTGGTCTGCTTGTTCTCCTGGATGGTCTGCATGGGTGACTGCCGCAGGCTTGTGATGGACGGCGGGCTAAAAAGAGGGTTAGGCCCGTAGCTGCCAGAGGGGCTACCCAGACTGCTTCCTGAGCAGCTGAAGGTAAACACTGAGCTCCCCTGACCATTGGCTCCGTTTTCTTCCTCTCCAGGAGGAGGCTGCTGGGATGCTGTCAAGCTGATATTGTCTAAAAGGTCGTCCATTAGGTTGTCAGAGAGCCCGTCATTGAGGTTCATGGTACCTGCCAGGTCAGAGAGCCCTGTGGGCCCTGTGGACGGTGACATGCTGCTTGGACTGGAGTACAGCATTGGGGAGAGGGGCGAGTCGTCATCTGGCACCTCATCCAGCTCCAGGTTGGCCAGGATCGGGGACAGACGGCCACTGAGTGTGCTGGCGTTGGAATTGGTTCGGGAGCGGAAGTCTGTCCAGGCATCCAGCTCATCACTGCTGCGGGAGGTGGGACTTCCTGTCCATTTGGAGAGGCTGGAGGAACTCTCTGAGCTGCCGTCTTGAGTTGCCTGTAGCGAGGCTTTCTTCTTGGTGGCACGTCCTCGGGCTCCTTTAATGTACTTGCTGTTATCCATTGATACAGCCCTTCGTCTGGGAGCTTTTCCTCCTTTCCCGCCTTCTGGGTTGACCATCCACCAGGAGCTTTTCCCCGTTCCTTCATTCTGGACTTTCACAAAACGACTATGGAGGGACAGATTGTGTCGGATGGAATTCTGCAATAAAAACAAATGAAAACAATTAAATGCACATTCTGTCTGTAGAGCTAGAAAAAGCTAATGGAAACCAATCGAATACCTTGTTACATACATACAACATACTTGCCAATAGAGCTGATTTTGACACAATGCCGTTAAAATGCATGCAAAAGCAATATGAATAGTATATTAGTATATATATAATAGTATATGCCTAAAAGACCGTTAAATGATTTTGGGTTTAACATGTCTTATTTTTGTAGTTTTTGCCATCAGTGTTATGATAATACTGTTCTCACCACAGTAATTGATGAGATCACAGCAACATCACTATTATTCAAATCCAAGGAGGCAGCTGAATTATCAAATTTTTGTAAATAAGCCAGTTCAGCCAAATTATCTAAACCATTTTAATTGGTGGTAAAACAGAGTGAGTGCACACAAAATGTTCCTCATGTTACAGGAAAACTGTTGCAACTAGTTGCAGATGAACCAAAATGTTGGTCTGTAAACTGTGATGGATGTTTACAATTTGGATAACTTATATTTAAAGTTAATTCCTTGACCTTGGAAACAGTACTTGTCCTTGGAAACATTTTTTACCACAACGTTCGTTTAGTAGCTGTTCTGGAGCTCACAATCTTTCTCAGAGTTTTGCTCAGGTGTCACTGCATTGCAGATGCTGAAATTAACACCATGAACATGAAGTCCTTTAATATGATCAGAAAAATGGAACATCTATAACAACTGGGGATCTGCTGAGGAGGATCATGTGATGCGTTTGAAAGCTCCAGAAAAGCTTCTGAATGGACTGTGTGGTGTTTAGACAGTTATAATTTTACCGTTCACCTTCGTTTTCTTTGTCAAATATGTTCAAGGGTTGTCTGATTGACTGCCCAATTGGAAATCTTTTTTGCCAATGTCGCCATGTTCCCAAAAATCAACAAATAACTTGGTGCGTTCAACATCATATTAAGATAGAAAGGATGAAGAAAACTACAAAAATTTTACTCCTGGTGTACTAAACCATAGTTATCCTTCAAGACATTGCTGGCCTTTCTATGGTCAGCCTGGTGGTCGGGATCACTTGGAATTTGAAGGGTCACCAGATATGTGAGAGACACAAAATTTATCTAAAACGTTTGCCTTTTTTCTAATAAAATAAGTGATATTTAAAGTAAGAGAAGGAAAATCCTTCTTTGTTTGGACTGCTCACAACTCATGTCCACAGTAAGGCCATAAGCTGTCATGTGGGGTCAGAAGTAGACACTACTTTTTTTTGAGGGGTCACAAACCAAAAGAGGTTGGTAACCACTGCACTAGAGGAAGAACATCTGACTACTGACAGTGAACATCCAATGCTGTAGGCCTCCCACAACACAAACCTTGTGATAAATATTACTGTGCAATCAAGTACTGTGAACAATACTAACACTGCAGTTTCTTTTAAGAGACACTTCTTCATTGCACCTCAAACTGTGACCCATTTCTGGCTGCACTAAAAGGTATACCGGATTTCCCTGGAGATGTTCCCAACCATGTACAAAATTAAACAGCTGGTGCCTGCTCGACTGGCCCGCACTAAGTCACACTGCAGTAACAGAAGGAAAAAACTCTGCAGCGGCCCAAAGACCAACTTCAATGGAGAGTGTCCAGCATAAATCTCTTAAGCTTGAATTAAC